AACGAAATGGGAGAAAGAAAAGGAAAGAAACAGAAGGTGGGAGAGAGAGATTGACGGGGACCCAAATCCAAGTGAGTTTGGAGTTGATTTAATATGGAACATTAAGTTGTGAAGTACTGATGCATGGCTCTATAATTAATTTAAAATTTGTTTCACTGTTTATGCAGAAGAGAATGAACATTGCAAAACTAGGGTGTGAAGTTTCTGCGTTTTCTAATTATTACATCTGAAGTAACCCTTATTCAGCCAGAGGGTTAACTGACTTAGCTCAGTTGATTCCAGGTTACCCTCTTCCCTTTCTCTCAACTTGAGGAGAGTCAAGAAATGGGAAGAAACTGTGACACCATATGCTGCTTTACAAACAGACATTAACAATATTATTCCCTCCTTTTTTGTGTGTGGCTTGTGTCATTTTCTAAATTTGATGTATATACAACTTGTCTTAAACGTAATTCCAGAATTTATTGGATTTAAAAAAATGTTTTCAAATTATTTTCTCTTAAATGTATCGTTCAGCTTATGAGTTTTAAATGCTTTGTTTTTCTTTTCTTTTCTTTTTTTTTGAGACGGAGTGTCACTTTGTCGCCCAGGCTGGAGTGCAGTGGCTCGATCTCGGCTCACTGCAACCTCCTCCTCCAGGGTTCAAGCGATTCTCCTGCCTCAGCCTCCCGAGTGGCTGGGATTATAGGCACGCGCCACCATGCCTGGCGAATTTTTGGTATTTTTAGTAGAGATGGGATTTGCACCTTGTTATCCAGGCTAGTCTCGAACTCCTGACCTCGGGTGATCTGTCTCCGCCTCCTAAAGCTCTGGGGTTACAGGCGTGAGCCACCGCACCTGGCCTAAATGCTTTCTACTTTTTATCATATATTGGAACTCTTCTTTTATGTCTTGTACCTGATTGCACAGTGTTTCACTCTAAGGGTGTTGATAATCTTTTAGCCCTTAAAATCTGGTTTAACCAGTTAGCTTAATGCAGTTGACCTTGAACAACACCAGTTTGAGCTATGCAGGTCCAACTATACAGGGGATTTTCTTCTACCCCTGTCACTCCTGAGACAGCAAAATGAGCCCCTTCTCTTCTCCACTGCAGCCCACACAATATGACCTCAGTGGGGGGATGCGAGGAAGATGAAGAATTGTGATGATCCACTTCCTCTTAGTGAATGGTAAATATATTTTCCCTTCTTTATGATTTTCTTATTAACAGTATCATTTCTCTAACTTACTTTGTTGTAAGAATACAGTATACAATACATGTAACATACAAAATATGTGTTTATCAACGGTTTATGTTTTCAGTAAGACTTCTGGTCAACAATGGGCTATCAGTAGTTAAGTTTTTGGGGAATCAAAAGTTGTACCTGGATTTTTGACTGGGGGCGGGGGGCAGTTAGTGCCCCTATCACTGGTGTTGGTCAAGGCTCAGCTCTATTCAGTTTCTTTACTCCCTTATGTCATCTGAAAACCTCCCACTCAGTAGATGTTCCCGCGGGTCCCCTTTGTCCTTTCTCTGCAAGATGTTGAAGAATGGCCTGGATTGGTGTGGAATTTTGTTCCAACAGAGCCCGTCTGTTCATAATGAAGAGATTACTCAGCACTGATCTCCACAGCTGACCCCCTTTCATGCTTTCCAAGAGTAATAGCTATTTGTAATTTCATATTTTTGAATATTTTTCTGGAAAAGAGGAATTAAATCCTTGGGATTGATTAAACCCATGAAATAGAAGCTTCTACTCAGGAATGTGAATGGTAATCTGGAAATAAGGATAAACCTTTCCTACTGCCCTATCCAGGCCACCATTTCAGAATTCATTTACAACTGAGTTCTGCTTACTCAACTCAGACCTTTTCCAGGTAACTTGGTGAAATGTCTCCTCTCTCTGGGGCTCAGTGTGCCCACCGGTAACAGGGAGATGATGGGTATACCAGAAATTCTGAATCTGAGCCGATGGAACCCCTGAAATGATGTTCAGGATTGAGCATGTGTCTGCATGTGGCAATTTTTTGAGAGAGGGTGCCCAATTACAGTTAGTCTTAAATGACTCTCAGACCTCCAAAAATGATGGAAACTACTAGGAAAGGGGTGGGGGCATAGGCTTAGAGATAGGAGAGCTGCTTCTCTCAGCTTTTTATACTTTCTCACTATCTCTGCATCAGGAGTAAGTCTTAAGTTTTATTATGTCATCTCCTGGCATTAAATCCTTTTATGCTTTCCCTCTGCCTGTAGGACAAATATCTAAACTACGTAGTATGGCTACAGCAGGGATTTCTGGAGCTATGGTGGCTCTTCACCTGTTCCAATTTTAGGCTTTTATTATCCTGCATTGACTGACGGTCTTTGGATGCTGGCTACCCAGGGAGAGGCTGTGAACTTGGACATAGCAGTTTTTCTTGGCTGAGCATCAGGTGGACAGAGGACAATGCAATTGATACAGAATGTTGGGTTTCAGCAAGAAGGGAGAACTTTTTGAAGACATAGGTGGAATAACTCACTTCTTAGTCTCTGTTTAGTTTATTTTTTTCATGAGTTTATTTTCACTCTTGTTGCAGTTGAAAGCTAAGGACCATCTTGTTTCTATATCAAACCTCTTCCTGTGTCTGTGTGTGGTAGAGGAAGGACCTGTATTGATTTTAAGCATTAAACAACATATTTTTGACATACAGACTGATCTTACCTGAGAAAGAAACTCAGAGGAAGAGGAAAGAAGGAAGAGGAGGGAATGGCTCTTTCTCAGGTAAAAGTTATATTCTTGGTTGATTGTTTTGTCCTCTCCTTCCTGAAATGCCATATTTTGGACTTGCTAATTTTATCTGACTCTGAAGTGTCCTGACTAACATGTATATTCACACCCAGGGCTTTGCCTCAATTCCATCTCCACCTAGATTCCATCTCACTGTGACCCAGTAACATGGAACTTTGGAAAAGGCTCCATTTAGATGATTGTTCTGGGAAGGGTTTGATGCCTAGTCATGGATTGGATATGGGGGGCAGGCTCCATGGTGTCAGTGAGGTTGAGTGGTAGTGACTGTTTAGAGACTTCATTTGGATGCCCTTTCAGCTCTTTATAAACCAGGATTAAAGAAGCTGCATATGTAAGTGATATATGAATGTGCACAAATACCTGGAAAACTTTGGAAAAGTAGACTGATGGGGGAAGCTTGCTTAGCTTGAGTTTATAATACGTTTGTAGCGAAACAATTGAGTCTGTGTTTCTGGCTGTAAAATATTAATTTGGAATAGAATGGGAAGTTCAGAAGTAGACATTGGGGATGGAGAAGGTAGTCTTTTTTCATAATTGGTTTTAAAATATTAAATCAACATAATTGTCTTGGCCGGGCGCGGTGGCTCAAGCCTGTAATCCCAGCACTTTGGGAGGCCGAGA